CCCCATCGCTCTTTCTCCAGAGTTAGTTCCAATCTCGGCGGTGCTTGTAGACTCACATGTCGAGTTGCAACGAGGTTCTTCAACTGGGTGTCGGTGGAATTGATTGTGCTGAAATTATGCATCTTTTTTTTTCCATAAGTTATACAGACGAGGCAATCACTGTGATGTAATTTTTTTTTAGTACTTTTTTAAAATTATCTTCTTATATGTATGTATATATATATATATATATATATATATACACTCATATATACACACACATGCGATTCTTGTAATTCTTATAAATAAATAAGATGTGTTGATGGATGTAAATCAGTTTGAGAGAACATTTGATGTGGTTGTGTTTTTAGGGGGATGTCACACAATAGTAGTGACCAAGACGACACTACCATACCGTACACCACAAATATATATGAGTTGATAAGTGAGTATTAATAAGTGAAAGGGGGGGGGGGCAGCTGGGGCCACTATTTTGAGGTAGAGGGGTGGAAGTAAAAAAGAACACTTTCTCCTCCTTCTCCCAATAATCACTTTCTCCTCTCTTTATTTATTTATATATATATATATGTGTGTGTGTGTATATATATATATATATATATATGTGTGTGTGTGTGTATATATATATATATATGTGTGTGTGTATATATATATATATATATATATATATATGTGTGTGTATACATATATATATATATATGTGTGTGTATACATATATATATATATGTGTGTGTGTATACATATATATATATATATATGTGTTCATAATTCCAAGTCCTGGTCTGCAAGTCCAGACTTCTGTCAGCTTTTTTGTAGTAAGTCATGGAGCTCGTCCCTCACTCTTGGTTGCTGCTCCCAGTCCCACAGCTAGTGTGTCTCTACTCCCCATCTTTATTTTCACTGCTCTTCAACCTCATGAATCAATCCTATTTGCTGCAAAATCCTCACGCTAGTTTTTCAATCTACTATTCCTTTCTACTGTATTCTTGCAACAAATTGTAATTTCTTGGTAAGCTTGCACATGCTAATTTAGTCGAATAAATTAATTTGAACTTAAGATGCACATCAACTCCGAGGTCAGATTAAAAAAATAAAAATAAAAATAAAAACACACCCACCCACACACAATGTTGTTTTGCAACTTTTTCAACTTTGGTTTTAAAAATGATAAATGATAATGTTACATCACTATCTCCATAAGTTTTATTATGTTTTTTGCATTAAATTTTATGTTTTATGTTTTTGTTTTGTTTTGATTTTGATTTATTATTATTATTATTATTATTTTTTTCTTTTGTGTGTGTGTACTGAATCACGAGGTTTTTAATTTTCTAAAAACAGTTCTTTGTATACTTATACATACATATGTTATATTTTATTTTTGTGTCATTATTATTTTACAATCATATAATGGAACTATTGTCTCTATGGTCTGAAATATTTTTGAGAAGACCTTATTTTTGTTCTCAAAGGTATATAAATTCAAATATTTAAGAAAATAAAAAAGCCCCAATGTAATAGTTTTATACTCATCACAAAAATGCATCAGTAAACATTATGTTAACACTGAAAAATTTAAAGTTAAGAACAAAAAGATACAAAAAACATGTATGTTAAAGATTTATCAGAAAAAAGTATTTTATTGTATTAAAATTATTCTTAAAAATTGAAGTTATTTAATATAAATTAGAAACATCTATGATGTAATAAAGTTATTTTTTCACTGTGGAATTTCAGGATTATCTTAGTAACATAGATATTTAAAAAATAAGTAAATTTATTAACTTTGATGTGATTTTTAGGCCTACAATAGATATTCCAAGCATGTCTATAAAAAGACAGAAGATTATGTGGAGATTATTATACAAATAAAAAATAAAAAACTTACAAATTTCAATTTAAAGAAATATAAATATTATTACAACAAGTTGTTTTACATAACTCGTTTTAATTTGAAAAATAAAATAAAATAAAAATTTATGTAATAAATCACAATATCAAAATAGATATTTTTTTAAATGTTCTATATTATTTTCCATTTAATATACATATAAAATATATATATATATATATATATAGAAGGTGTTCCTAATGCCCCTACTAGTTGCCCTAAATTTGTATTGCATACCACAATGCACATTATCTAGCAGGAAAAAGTATGATATATTAGCAATATCATATATATATATATATATATATATACATATTAAAACTTTAAAATTATTTTATTTTATACATTTTACACATTAAAAAAGTGTAAAAATTATATTATGTATTACATTATATTTATGTTTCTTTATGAAAAAATGTTTTAAACTTAATATAATTTTAAAATATAAGACATTTTAATATAATAAAATATGAGTAATAATTTTTTATATAAATTTTTTATTATGATTTTTTCTAAATAGAATAAAATTATTTAGAATAAAACATTTAATTTATTCAGTAAATACCTACAAATTTTAATAAAAATTTAATTATATAAAATTGTATATATATGTATATGTACTTCTACAATACATCATACTAATGTAAAATACTCAATTAATATTTAACACACAAACATACACACTCACACACACACATATATATATATATATATATATATCATAAAACTATTATGTTTTTATTTTAATATATATATTATTTAAATACCAAAATCATTGTTATTTATGAATGATTTATTTTATAAGTCTATATAATTATACCTATTTTTTTTTATAATAAGAGTATTGAAATTGTATGTAACATTGACACTGATTCTTTCATTATAGAAGAATTGAAAAATTAGTCTACTTGGCTTAAAGAAACAAGAGCATTGAATATACTTTGCAATTCATAATAAAGACTAACATGCAAATTTGATTTAATAACAACATTTGCTTAATGAGTTCTAATAGTTTTTTCAACTACTTTAAGTTTTTTATTTAATTTTTTTTGGTTTAAAAAATTGTAAGTCAATGTACCAATATCAAATAAAAAATAAATATTCCAAATACAACATAGATTAATACATAAGTATTAAATTCACACAATATAGTGTTTATTGTAGCCTAAAAATTATCTAATAAATATTTTTTCTTTTCTAATTTTTTGTAACCTTTTTTATTATAATTTTGATTTAAAAATATAAATATGAATATAAAATAGATGTAGTAGTGTTGTAGGTAATTAACTTTAAAAGCATCTATTAAATATATGGGATTCATACAATATACTCACTACAATTTTGAATTTCGTTTTGTATATTTGATAAAGAAACTTATTAATTTTTTGTTTCAATTTATTTGAAATATATTTCTAAATATAGAGAATTAAAATCCTATTTTAAATATCAAATTAAAAAAATCATAGTACTGTAAGAGTTATTATACTTTTAAAATACCTTGACTTTAGACCTATATTAATTAATTGATCATTTTAATGTTTAACATTATAGTTAAAAAAATCAAGTGATTTTTTAATTTAAGACTTTAATTAGCAATATTTTATGTGTATATATATATATATATATATATATATATATATATATATATATATGATGATTTTTTAATTTGAATTTAAATTTATTGAATAATACACTTTTGTAAAATTTATTAACTTTTAAGTGTTAATATTACAAAATTTAAGTTATTTTTCAAAAAATTACTATAGTTTTATATTTATTAATACTATAAAATTGAAAAAATCAAACTACATTATTTTTAATGAAATTATTACAATTTTTTTTTACTAAAACATGTAATATTTTAAATTTTTGTTTATACATATATGTACATACATACACATCTATTTGTCATTTGATATCTTGATAGTTTTGTTAATTTATATCTCTTTATGTTTTGAATTATAAATTGAAAATCTAAATATTTTTAATATCTATCATGATCAATTATAAAATTATTTTTTATTTAGAAGCAATGGCCATACATTTGTAGGTAATTAGCATAAGTATACAAGTGACTTGGCATTTGTTACTTCATGTGCAAGAGTTTGCTAGAATAGCAATGACTTGGAAGCTAAAATAACCTTGATTGACGTCATCCTGGAAAAAAAATGCAAAACAAGTAAAGTATATTATTACAGACATGTCAATCCTAAACTCCATTACACTTTAAAATCACACCAATAGACTTGAGAAGATAAAAATTATATAGTATTGTACAAAACATTATCTGTGATTCCATCTTCAAATCAAATTATTTTCGTACAAGTAAGAAGGAGTGTAAGAAGTGCAAAAAATCCAATAGTCCCAATACTTTCAACAGTAGAATATCAAAATCAATATTCGTCAATAGAAAATAGAAAATAAAATTCAAAAATCACATATATCCTAGATTCTAATTTAAAAATTTACATTATTATTAAAATTTGAATTTTTTGAGGTTCCACGTTCAATACTTTTGAAACGAACGCTCTAAATAGAATCATCCATACACCAACAAAAAAAATCCCCCAAAAAACATAATGTTGAAAAAACATTTATAAATTTAAATAGACATATTACCAAGAACATTAGTTTTAAATGTTGTCCTTTACAATTCTCCAAGTCATGTATATATATATATATATATACGTTTACCTATCTATCTATCTATATACACACACAATATAAGTCTCAATATTATAACAGAAAATTGTGTGTATGCCCCAACATTAGGAAGCCAGTCTGGAGACCATTCGTTGACACAGACTCGAAAGCGAAACCCCAAACCCTAAAATCGGACGCATCGACACCGCAAACTAAGCCTCGTGCACACACACATCGTCCACTGTTGCAGCGATGGCGTCGAAACGGATGATGAATGCCACTTCTCGCAACCTCGTCGTCGTCATCGTCGTCATGTGCGTGTGCGTGTGTGTTTTCCAACTGCCGGGCTATGTCTCGTGAACGAAAGCTCCACCGCGACGACGCCGAATGAAGAAAGATGAAGAAAGATGATGAAGAAGAAGAAGATCCATCACTTAATGAACCCCGGAGACATAGCCGTTACGGGGAGCGGGGGCACCATCCCCGACCGTTGTTGTTCTCTTCCCTCCTCCGAGGTAACCCACTTCTTCATAAAGCATGCCTTCCGCTCTCTCCTTCTCATCGCACAAGTTTGTACTTTGTTCACCATCGCATTCTCCTCCTCCCTCTTCTTCTTCTTCTTCTGTCCCTTCTCTGGGACTGCGCTCTCTTCAACGCTCGCTACAAACTGACCATCACATTTATTGGCAAATGAGCTGATATCGATACTGACCTTTGCCATTCAGGCTTTTATTTGATTTTATTTTTCCTCTTCTGTTGTTTGATACTTGCTATAGTTGTTTGTATGTTGATTGTATCCGTAGTTGTGGTGTTCAAGCTGTCGAGGAGGATCTGCTGTGTTTGTCTCCTCGGTAAGGGATCTAGGCTCTAACAGTGACAGGGAATGGCTACCATGGCCAAGGCGTTTCAGACCCCGACCAAGAGTGCGAGTGCACGATGGGACCGGGATCCTCTGCGGGAGCGCATGAGCCCTGAGCCCGTTGTGACTAAGAAGACTCCCAAGACCAAGACTCCCGGCCGATCGGTATATCCCCTTTGAATGCGTAATGATGTAGCTAGTTTGTGTTACTGGGTGTCGTGTAGCTCCTCCTGTATTTTGGGGTTTGATCTGCGAGTGTGCGTGAATTTCCTACTCCAACTTATGGAGCTCACCAAGAAACTGGAAATTTTCTTTGTCGTGGATATTGAAGTCTGTCTTGATTTTATTCCAGACGGACCGTTTCATCACTGACCGCAGTGCGATGGATTTCGAGGTTGCCAACTACTTGCTCTCCAAGGAGAACTCATCATCCGAAGCCACATCTCCAATGAAGATGGCTTACAGGAAGCATTTGGCAGAGAACTTACTGAATGACAACTGCCAGAAGCAAAGTCGCATTCTTGCCTTCAAGAGCAAGCCTCCTCCTCCTTCTGAAGGTTTCCAGAACGCGCGGACGACTCTGTACTCTCAGAACGTTGGTGCTGGTGACCAGAAGCCCAGGAAAACGTTCCGGTACATTCCACAAGCGCCCGAGAGGACTCTCGATGCGCCTGATCTTCTTGACGATTACTATCTTAACCTGTTGGACTGGAGTTCCAACAATGTCCTAGCCATCGCTCTCGGCATGACTGTCTACCTCTGGGACGCCACCACTAGTTCCATTGAAGAGCTGATGACAGTGGACGAAGAAGGCCCCATCACTAGCGTATCTTGGGCACCAGATGGACAATATATCGCCGTTGGGTTGAACAATAGCACCGTGCAGCTCTGGGATTCGACATCCCTTCGGCAGGTACGCAATCCTACCAGCACGAGGTCTTCCTTATCTTGTTACTCTGAATCCTCAGTGTGATTTCTTAGGTCAGCTTATCTTAGTCGTGGATTTCATGGTGCAGCTGAGGACATTGAGGGGCCACTCGGCGCGTGTGGGTGCCTTGGCATGGAATGGTCCCACTCTCGCTACAGGAGGCCGTGACAGTACAATTCTTAACCACGATGTGAGAATCCGAAACCACGTGATTGGGAAGTTGACTGGCCACGAGCAAGAGGTTTGCGGCCTGAAATGGTCACCCTCGGGGCAACAGCTCGCTAGTGGCGGCAATGACAACTTGCTTCACATTTGGGACTCTGCCGCCGCCTCAAACTCATCTTCCTACCTCCACCGCCTCGATGACCACCAAGCTGCCGTCAAAGCCCTGGCCTGGTGCCCCTTCCAGAGTAACTTGCTCGCTTCCGGTGGTGGAACTGCTGACCGCTGCATCAAATTCTGGAACACGCACACTGGTGTGTGTGTCAACAGCATCGATACTCAATCCCAAGTGTGTGCGTTGCAGTGGAGCAAGCACGAGAAGGAGATTCTGAGCTCCCACGGGTTCAGCCAAAACCAGCTTTGCTTGTGGAAATATCCCTCTATGGTCAAAATGGCGGAATTCACGGGTCACACTTCCAGAGTCCTCCATTTGGCTCAGAGCCCTGACGGATACACAGTGGCCTCTGCAGCTGGAGATGAAACCTTAAGGTTTTGGCAGGTGTTTGGAACCCCTGAGACGAAGCAAACGTCTCAAAAGCGAACCAAGGAGGTTGGGAGTGCCCTGACATGCCTGAACAGGATCAGGTAAGTTCTACAAACCCCTGGTGCATCTGTATATTTGTATAAACTTAGAATTGTTATGTACATGTTATGTTCCTATAGGTTAGGAATGGAGTGAGCTTTTTCTTCGGGCAATGTGTCAAGATTGGACGTCTTGCAATCGATTGTTTGCATTGTTCATCACACGTGCCCTCTGCGGGTTAACTCTTCGGTGTTTCATCAACGCCAACATATCTCTTGCGTATTTATCTCTTCTTGAGTACAATTCCGGTTTACATACTGGAGAGTTGACCTTACAATTTGGTATAGTGCAAGCCAACTGGATGTAGCCAGTTCAAATACCATTACGTTTCTCAGGAGTCTAACTTAACCTGTTATTAACTGCGTCATCGCAGTTGGTATGCAACTATTCTGAGAATTTGTGAAGCGCAGATGACTGAAAAAATTCCCAAAGCTCTCGTTGAATCGGAACGAACACAATTAAATTAAAATGCACCCTTCACAACTAATGACATCCTTAACTGTTCACGATGGTAGTGTGGAGTAGAATAATTGTATAATTATCAAAGCATCCTATATCCATGATATAATAAATAAACAACGTAATCATCCACGTATGCAGTACAAAAACTATACTTGTGTAGTCAGCAATGATTACAATTAAAATGGACAAAGTGACAAATAATAGTACATCCAAATTCATTTGTTCGGAATAATTCCAAGCAATGAACAGTATTCGAACAATGACTTCTTCCCACATGAGTAAAACCAGCATATTTACAATTCCGCGCCACCCACTGGCTGTTTCGTTCCATTCGACGCTGAACTTATGCACGTAAATTTTCCTTGCGCCACCAAGTACTGCAACCTGTCCTGAGCGAGGTAGATGAGCGCACAAACTCTCAGTTGAATCGAGAACAGAATCTGGAATGTTCGCAGACTCTTCCGACTTCGTATGCATGCAGCCCGGTGTAAATGTTGTACCATCCTAGTATCACTGCACCAGTTCCCACTAGCCAGTGCAGAGCATACCAAATCGGTCGCGTTGTTACTCCACTGCGTATGTAACGATCGTTGCATTTGAAACAGTTCTACGTCTTTTGACGTAATAATGGTAGTATTGAACAGAGAAAGAAAACCTTAGACAGATATATATGAAGTCATGAAAATTGAAGGACTAACACTTACTGGTTGGGACGAATGAGGCCTACAAGCGGAGGAAGCCACACCAAGATCCACAACGCCAGACCGAGCCGCTCATGAGTGTATGTAAAACTGTTGTCGAATTTCGTCACTGCGACGGCAGCGCTACAAATAACCGTTAGCACCGCAACAACCTGGAAGCACGATAAGGAACTTGATTATAAACTACACTGAGTTTTTGTGCTAGAACATACAGACAATGCGATATGCAGACATGTGGGAAGGAAGACTTGTATTGGATAATAAGACACACCTGAATGATGGTATGGACGTAGACCAAGGTTCTAACATTTTTCAAGTCACCACTCTCCCTGTAACCTCTTGAGAAACGGATCAGAATAATTGCGACTGGCATGAGCAGTCCCATCGATAGACACATGAGCCAGCCATGAACCTTGATCCAGTGAAATGGATAATGGGGCTGCAATGTGAGAATTTTCAACCAATTTCAGTTTTCTGAGCAGTAATATGTAGTTGTTCTTACAGCAAGCACAACTCATAATGAACCAGCTGAAAAATTCAAATGCGTTGAAGACTCCAACTTCAACCAAAGTGACATGCACTGACATACAGCAGAGGAAACTCCTTGAATTTGTGTACACACTGAAGGAAATTTCACCATGTAGTCGCCACACTCACCGGTCCCCCTGCGACTGGAGTGGCTGCGCTTGCCACCAGCACAAAGCACATGAGGAACACGATCACAACGATTGACGGGGTGTTCACAATCTTCATTGCCATTTAGCCTTCTCCCTGCGCAACACTTAGATTTATCAGGAACCTCTCAAGCAATTTCGACACAGCAGGGAAGAAACTTTGCAAAAGTAGCAATAGTGGCGATATGTTGGCGACGGTGAAGTAATACCCACATTCACATCCCCACCTCTTATACAACAATAACGACCCACACACTCCCTCCTCTCCGGAATAAAATCAACAGTCACGGAAATGAGGATGTGGTGTCCTCGGATACTGGTTTCCAGTATACGACGCGATTCTTCTCTACAGTCAAAAGCTACAGCTAATAGTCTCCATGGGACCCAACTAAAGCAGCAAGACATCTTCATTACACCGTCGCCCACTTTTCACTGCACTCTCAACATGTCCCAAATCAAACTTCAAGCAAACGTTCGCGGTTCATGAATCCTCACCAACAATGTACCTTATTCCCCATATCCAAAAACAACACGGCAACCGATGCAAAGGTCTAGATTCTGGATCAGCAGGCAGAATGTTTTCGTTGTCATGATACTTTACGTTGGGTGGTCATTTTCTGAGGGGGAGGGCGGGCCTCTCCCAAAAGTAGGAAAGCCGTGTCATTACTATTGGCTTATGTGTTTTCACGAGAGCGAGGAATTCCACAACCAGTCAATCATACTAGCCAGGTCTGTCTTTGCCTCGCTTTCAAGCCCCACCGCTGATGACTGTTGTCACTGTTGCCGTCTAAACATCGTTGTTACACAAGCGGTTATCAAGAGCGTGAATGCCATCTAGACACGAACCACACAACGCTCTCTTAAACCGCATTCCTGGAAAACATTGTAACGAAACAAACCTTGGATGTTTTTGTCCTCCTATGAGAATGAGCTCATTCTCAATAGGCCCAACCTGCGACGCATTTACATCAAAGGGTTTTTCTTTTCTTTTCTTTTCTTTTCTTGTGCACACCAACTCAGCAGTGCCCTCACAACAAAAGGGTCTTGAGGCAGCAATTGGTGTGAAGGGTTGCCGCATCGCACTTCATTGCATGGTATTAAATGAGTCCACGGAGGTGAGCCTTGGGGATGTCACTCTCTGGGACTGCGTCAAAGCGTCCTTTGCCAATGCTTTCACTCTCTAAAAGCACCCAATTGTTTCCACTTTTGCTTATCCCCTACGCAGGTGAAGTCGACCATGAGCTTCGACACGGTCACCATGGATGTGAAGGTCAACTTCTGATAAATGCGTAAACGAATAGAAAAGAACAACATCAACAACAAGTGTCCGTGTGCAGATTGGTTCCAGGCTTTCTTCTTCTTCTTCTGTGCAAAACTTTGTTTTCCACACCATTTGAATGTTGAGAGAAAGTAGCTTGATTGTACTATAATATCACCCACATTTTTTTATTCAAAACAAGACATGAAGTGGATGAAAAACAAATAAAAGAGAGGGTGGAACATTTACTACCCACATTTTTGTATGAATGATCTTGAATGACACATATGGATATAGTTTGCATGAGAATTTATTCAAAAAATTCTATAGTTGACTATCCATGTGTATATTAAGGATGATGTTGGTGTATTCTTAACCAAAGCTTTTTAGCCTAGTTATTGAGCCTAGTAGTGATCCACTTTGTTTTTAAAAACGCCTCTATTTTATTTTATTGTTCCAAAGAAAATAGTTAGCTTGAAATTGTGTTTAATTTATTTTTTTCCAATTTTTTTATTATTAGATTACTAATTTCACCATTTTATTTTATATGCAGAGGCTAGTTAATTTAAGGGAGCAGTAAGTTTCGATGGTGAATGTGTACAAAAGTCTACAAAATCTAACACTTTAAATAAGACATTACTTTTTTAATGTTTTATTAGCCATAAAACAAATTGTATAAGAACTGATTATACAAAAATAATATTTGATTTCTTTCTAATAAATAATAATTTAATTATTATAATAATTTAAAAAAATTTAATGCTCCTTGTAAGAGCTTTAATTGTGTTTTACAACGCTTACCTAAGACTTTCTACATTTTTGACAATTAAACTAATACTACACCACCACCAAGTCAAATTCAATACAAGGATATTTGTTCTATTAATATTTAATTATTATTAAAATTCACAAGATTCAACAAAGAAAAAAAGGGAAAAAAATTATAAAAATTTATTATATATATTTTATTTTTTTAAAATTTTAGTAAAAGAACTCAAAATTTTATTTTTTAGAGTTTTGCATGAATTCTTTAAAATTTAAAGTATATGTAAAGTTCTAATTTGACAATTTTACTTATGTCTTCTTGAATATTAGTATTAAAAAAATCATTAAAATTAATATTTTTAATATAATAACTCTTTACTTTTGACAATATACTTTTATTAAAAATCTTACTTTTCAACTATTAAAGTGTTCTAATAGCAATGCATTCCAATATATTTAAAATATCAAGAGATGGTTATTAAAAATATTTGAAAAGTTGTGTGAGTAATTGCTAAATGAATCTATTAAAATAATATAAAATAAACTTTTGTACTTATAATGGTTAGAATCAAGATATAAACTAACATACTTTGACTTCAAATAAAAGTATGATTTTGTTCTATTTCATGAACATCTCCTTATTTTATACTTTATCCAAAGGCTAAGGCTTCTAACAAATAATGATTCTTCACTAAGCAAGCAACCTTGGTAAGACTTTTATACCATGGCTTTTAAAAGAGAACCTCTAGGCATAAAAACTTTCTCTTTAGAAAATAAATTAAATGCAAAACCTATCTTTAAATCAAATTTAGAATATAAAAAATCTAATATTTTTAGCTTAGAACATAGGTTCTTTCAAAGATATGCTTCTTGCAAAACTTATATCTTTTGAGTAGCATTTTTCTTTAATGTAATTAATATAAAAATATCAAGCTATGAATAATTGACTACAAACTAGAATTTTACCAATACTAATGTGTCCGTATCTTATTGCACCTCTTTGAATGTGATGCTTTGTACTAAGGATTTGAATACCAACAACAGCACCACATGTTAAATTTGGATGATTTCATAGAAGGAAAAAAATAAAAAAATCCTTATCAGAGATTATTAATTATGGAAAAAAAAAACCCACTAGATGTTTATTTAGATTCTAACTGGAGTTGGTTCCCGAAATTCGGATTAATTATTAGAAATTATTAATTTTCCGTGATTAATTACTGGGGGGGGATTTAACGCCTATTAATCTCGGAATGGATGAACACAGATGTGGATGAATAAAATTTTGAATGAATGAAGGAGCGGATGAACGAGAGAAAGGATTAAAGAGACGATGGATGAATGAAGAAGCTTGTGACAAAGCCCTCTTTTTCTTTGTCTTTGTCTATTCTTTTTCGTCTCTTTCTTTCAAAGTCTTCAGGGGTCGACGAGGCTTCTGGAGACGGTGAGTGAGTGTGTGTGAGCGAGGCGCCGTCGGCGAGGCCCGTGCCTCCGCTCAGCTCAAATGGAAAATCAAGCCCTCCCGATCGCAATTAGGTCTTCCGCATTATCGTAGTTGCAGCAGCAGCTCTCTTTCCTACAACACCAGGAGAATCCTTGTGTGTGTGTGTGTGTTGTCTTTTTAGCGAGAGCGCGAGAGAGAGAAAGCAAAGCTGCTTTCGAACTACAAACGAACTGTTGTTGGAATAAGTAGGGTGATTTGTGAGCGGCTCCTCTTTGTTTGTTTTGCTGGAGCTGACACCATGCCGAGGTGAGCAACTCCTTCTGTTTCGACGATGACCTGGTTGCTCTGCTTCTTAATGTATGAGGATGAGGATTCTGTTAACCTTTGTCTGTGATTTGTGATTCTATTCTTTTTGTTTGTTTGAAAATATACCCGTTTGCGCAAGTTCGGCGCACATGACGTAGCGTTAGGGTTTGGTGGTTGGCTGGTACAATAGTTTGTTCTCCGTTCGCTGTGTGAACTGCGAATTGATTGCGAAAGTGTGGTGCTCCCTCCCTATGATTATATGAACTGCAGAAAGTCGAAGAAGAAAACGCTGCTTGACGATGGTGAGGAGGATAATGCGGAGGTTGATGTTAACGCGGAGTGGAAAGTGAACGAGAATTTTGCGAAGCGGTTCACGCACAACAAGCAGAGAGAGGATTTGCACAGGTTGCAGGAGCTTAAAAAGAAGGGCTGGGCAGGGTCGGATTCTGATGATTCTGAGTCGGAGGATGAAGACGAAGACGGGCTGTTGCCCCAGAAAACGGACATCCAGATTTTTGAGACGTTGGCAAAGATCAAGAAGAAAGATCCGATTATTTACAAACCTGACGTCAAGTTTTACGACGACGTAGATGATGAAGGGGAGGATGGCAATGTTGGAACTGTTGAGAAGAAGAAAAAGCCGCTTTATTTGAAGGATGTGCAAGCACGGCAATTGCTCGATGGAGATGATGACAACGACAAGGACGTGCCGATTAAGAAACCGCCTAAAGTCGTTACGTATGCAGACGAACAGGAAGAGCTGAAGCACGCTTTTCTGCGGAGCGTGGCACAGGCGGAGGGTGATGAGGAAGGTGTGTGCTTGTTTCTCCAATGCTTTCTGTACCTCCTCGTTGCCTTTCAATTGTCGCTTCTATGATAATTTCAACAGATGTTAGTAATAGTATTAAAACTGTGGCCGTGTTGTTAGAGGTTTAGGGTTTTGCAACCCTGTCTGTAAGTGGTGCCATATCTGTTGCTTATTTACTTTTTCGCCCTAATTATTGGGGTGCACGCTAGGTGCGCTCCTCAGTGTCGCTTTTTAGCTTCGAAGATTCATATTAGCCAAATTTCAATGCGTGTTGCGCGTGAACGCATTTTTTTCAAACCAGCTGGTTTCTGAAACTGTACTGCATCTGTCAGATGAACTTTTGAGAGTGAGGCATAGGACGAAAGAGGAACTCGCCAAAGATGCAGAAGAGACAGCGGTAGCAGTTGAGGAAGCAGAGCGGAGGAAGAAAGACCAGGATATATCGAAGAAGCTTGAGGATTACTTCGGAAAGAAGGACGATGAACTAGACGAGAATGAGAAGTTTTTGAAGGAGTTCTTTTTAAATGAAGGTTGGATAGATAAAGATAGAAATCGTGTTCCTTCCTACAGAGAAGTTGTTGGCTTGGATGAGGATGAAGAGCACGTGGAGGAGCAAGATGATTTCGAGAAGGAATACAATTTCAGGTTCCAAGAGAATGCTGGAGCTCAAGTCATGGGCAATCCGAGGATTGTGGAAGGCTCCGTCAGGAAGAAAGGAGAAGTGCGAAAAACACAAAGGCAAAAGAAGGCTGAGCGGTTAGCAGAGGAGAGGAAAGCTAGAGAAGAAGAGCTCAAGCGACTCAAAAACTTGAAGAAAAAAGAGATTATTGAAAAGCTGGAGAAGATCAGGACAGTTGCAGGGGCAAATACTCTTTTGACATCAATAGGAGAGGACGACATAGAGGAGGACTTCGATCCAAATGAATACGACCGCAAGATGCAGGAAGCCTTTGGCGATTCTTACTACCAGGAGGAAGACGCAGAAATCGGAAATGAACTGGAAGAGGATGAAGGTATCATTGAGAAACCCAACTTCGATGAAGAGGATGAAGATCTTGGACTACCGAAAGATTGGGGCAAGAAGGGCGGATTTGCTGCTGTTCATAAAGCTCAAAAGGTGTCATTTAAAGATAAGATAGCAGTTGATAAGAACTTGGATGAGTACTATAAGCTGGACTACGAGGATATGATCGGCGATTTACCAACCAGGTTCAAGTATCGTGAAGTGAAACCAAATACTTATGGACTCGATGTGGTGGATATTTTAACTGCGGAAGACAAAGAGCTTAACCAGCATGTTTCTATCAAGAAATTGGCTCCATACCGTGGGGAAGAGTGGGAGGCTCCTAAGTATAGCACACTGAGTCAGAAGGCAAGGAAGAAGCAAGCACTGCAGGATGGTTCAAGCAAACCTGCACGAAAATATTTAAATAAGAGACCTGATGAGAGAAAGAAAGAGTGGAAGAAAAATTCTGCAGCCACGCAGAAGGAGTCTGCTCCAGAAGCAGCTTCGAAAGTTGTGAAGGAAAGTGAACCCAATGGTGACACCACGGTGGCTACCGAGCCGGAGGGTGAGAAGAAGAGCAAGAAGAGGAAGAGGAAGAAGACAAAGTCAGGTCCTCTTTCATTTTTGACTCCCTCTAGGATAGAAGCTTATGGAGCACTACCCAACCCTGAGAAAAAGAAGAAAAAGAAAAGCGTAGCAGGGTGAGAATCAGTTAATGCTTGTATAACAGTAAGGGCCGAGTTTCTGGTGAGTTCATTTTTAAAAACCTCAACATCTCTCATGGAATAGTATAAGACGAATCAACGTCTCCAGGCAACAGAGTTAGGTTTGAATGTGAGGACATACAGCTGTAAGCGTAGAGACAAAACTGGACAATATTAGGTTGAGTTTCATCAGCAACCTAAAGTCAACCTGGGTTGGAATCTTCAAAAGGTGGAACGAGCACCTTCTAATCATCACATTGCTGGTATTAAGTAATGGGACTGGCAGTTTGTGATCCATCCACGCCTACACTCTCGGCATTATGGATCCTTGTGTATTAATTTTTGCATCTTGTGCGCATAAAGTGTCAAAGATGCCTGCTTTGCCTAAATCGTATGCTAAACCTTCGTTTGGGGGGGTTGGGGCTCAATTGTGATGGTTTATTATCTCGACTCCCGGCTTTCGATTGCAGATGTTTTTGGCACAGAACGGGTCAAAAGTTAGTACGTCAAACTTCTCAAAGAGCATTGCAGTCTGCAGTGTTAAGCATGTTTCTAGTGTAATCTCTATTTAGAGTAACATCTGAAGTAGGTGGCAGTAAAATCAATGAAATCCGGTATTGTTTTTGTCCAAGTTTTACAAAGCATTGGATATCATTTTACTATAACATCGGGTTATCTGCAAGTAAATGTTTCTGAAAAAGCCTAGCGAACTTTAACTCAAGATACTTGAAGGTACGTGCAGGCCAACATAATCAACCATTTGAATAGTCTCTGGTTGAGTTTACCTTATCCATAATCCAAACTACCATTAGTAGTGCCAAGCTCAATACCAATGCATTGCAATGAAATCCGTCATTCCAAATAATTTCCTCACAAGAATAGCAATCACAGCCCAGCAATGATGATATGATTAATCAAGGTGGATACAGTGACAACAGGATGGTAAGTGAAATCTGAGCAACATTGATGATCCGATCAAAGTTGAAGATGCAACAGAATTGATCTCACAATCACCACTCATGGCGACTAAGTAGAAATGGTATAATCACAATATGGATAAAAACAAACGACTACATATAAGATGGACAGTTTGAGAAAAGTGAAAAAAAATTGGGATCGGCACAAATCGCTTCACCTAACAATTCGTACTGGTTCTCGACCAACGAACATGTACAGATAAAAAGCACATTAAAACCAATTTTCATAAAAGATGATGCACTCGGTTTCTAAAAAATCCCAGACACAAGTCACAAGATTACAATGAGACGCAACCATTCGTGACAAATTGAAACTTTGTATTCATGTACTGTGCATGCAACCTGAGAAATGACACGTTGTATGTGAAATTCACCTGTCGTATCTCAAGCCAAATGCACTGCTCTTCGCAGAAGCGACTCTAGGTTGTAACAAGCGACGAAATAGGTCATTTGAAGAAAGCTGTTCTTGTTGCTAGTGGATTCCAATTGACCTTTCTTAGTGCCAAGTGACCTTAACAAAGTTCACACGTTCAATAAAACTTTTAAAGCAAAGTCAGATGCTGGGAAGTGTCCCTGCTCGAGAGACAGGTCCACTAAGCTGAATGTCACGCACATTTTCCAACTCGAACCATCTCTTCATCATCAGAATCCTGCCATAACCCATCCGGATAGACAATTTTGGCTCACAACAAAAGAAGTCTCCTCACCAATCCAGTTTTTGAGAGGCTAGAAATTTAAGGGATCTTAGCTGCGAATAAGCGATCAAATCAAGTTTTCTTCACGATATCTTCGTAGAGGTCATAATAGGATAAAGACCTCGTGACACGAAAGGGCAGGTTCAATCCAGATCTTCTCCTCACTGGCGCAGATGTTTCTTCCTGATTGCGCCTCATTTCTCGAGCTCTTATCCGCTCAGCCTTCTCCATTTGACAAGTGAGAGCTTCGGTGAAGAAGGCGACCACCACATTTAATGTAAAGACAACAGCTATTGCCCAAAATGTCATGAAATAAATCCGCGACCATCTACTATTTGTGGCAGCTGCATAGCCGTCCATTATCACATACCATTTGTTGACCACACATAAATTAAACGAGGTAGCCATAGCTGATGCATAGTCGTTGTAATTGAATGCTTCAAACCCCAGGGTCAGATATTCGGTGCCTGCGAGCGCATAATTACCTTCATAAACGAGCCCCCCAAATAAATGCATCCCCAGGACAGAGAACATGGAGCAGACCAGAAACTGGAGAGCTAAAATCGGGGCTGTAGCGGGGATTACAATTATCAACGTTTGGACCATCAGACGCCAGCGTGTAATCAAAGACACAAGAGCGAAAGTTCTGAGTCCCCGCACTAAGAGTAGATATGTCACCCTGTTTAACCAAGGAAAAGGTTCAGCCGTATGAGTTCCTCAACTAAGAATTTCGTCAATGTTCAGTTTTGGTGACTTCATTCAAATTACGTAGTTGAAACTCGAAAGGGCCATCATACTTTTTATGTTTCACTAAATTCTCAGACCAACTTGAGACCTACGCGAACAGTCTCTCAGCATCAAATGAGAAGCAATGACGAGGAGTTGAAGGATGATGTACCAGGGACGGGCATTCTCATTAAAGAATGAGATGAAGTGAAGTGCTAGAATCAGTAGGGTGACCACAAAGTCGAATGCGTTCAATGTGCTGCTCCAATAAGATTTCCAACCTTGCAGATAGACCTTAAGTAACGCATCCATTGCAAACACCCAACCTGCAACACATTTCTCAATGAGTTTCAGTTGATCAATAAATGAACATTTACTCTTCTCAGACCTAGGTCCTTGCTACTGGAACGCGAGGACAGTACTAGAACTGATGTCGCATTTGTGAACAACACGAGGCGGCAAGATTCACCCCATAAATAGAGTCTTCGGCAAGTATATCTCTGGATTCTCATTTGTGGCCAATTCATAGCATGACTTAGTGATATTAACTGCTTTAACCTAATTTTTAACATTGTGTCTACTGAAGGACAGAAACATAATCAACACTTGACTGGAAATATTCTTGACAGTCCAAGTAGGATAATTAATAAAGGTTCTATTAAAATGCCCAAGAACATGACGTTGAAGGATGCACAAGGACCAGCACTGCTGAAAGTGCGTACCAAACAGAAACTCGATGCTGAGAAGCAGGACCTGTGCACTGCCGCCAACCTGCAATTGCAATGTAAGCAACAAGAATCAAAACTAGATTTCAAATTATCTTATTTTGTTTCTGTTATCGAAAAAGCCATTATGACTAATTAAATTCCGCCTCTAATAAAATGAAAAGCTTGTTCGATCCAAGCATTAAAAGTTTCGCATCCCTTGCAACTTGTTCAGTAGCAAGGAAAGATGTCGGGTACACTTCCTTCCTTCATTTTTTCCATTTCTATTATCTCGTCGTCTACTATCTTAAGATAAGACAGTAAACATTCCTATTTTTTCGTTCATGACACAAAACACATCAATGATCACGAATCATTTCCTTCCTGGACAATGTGGCTGTAAACGACTTGAGAGGACGATGAACGTGAGAGGCAGCTTTTGAGTTACTACTAAGATACCAAAGTCAAATTATAACTGGTATACTCAGTGATCGCCAAAATCTCTGTGCAGAACATGTAACTTCATTGTAAATATCACTACTATGAGAAACGGGTTATTTTCAAGTTTCATGCGAAATCAATCAAGGCGTAATGAATTGAAAGGCTTACATTCAACTGTGTGATAGCCGCGGCCAAAGAACCAAGCGTTAGTGCCCATGTTACATATGTATAGACAGGGTGAGTCACAAACTGCATCTCATTTTTACTCATTCGTCGCCGTGATTGGAATAAGTCCGGTGGGCTTTCAACCTCTTTTGCTATAACATCGCAGAGCTCCTCAAACTCATCAGACCAGATCTTAAAATCTCCCCGTCTGTTGAGAGCTAAGAACAGGTGACTAGTCCGTGCTCGAATATCAGATATGTGCCTGCTTGAATTCATGATTTAGAGAACGTGTTTTCTTTCAGAATTACAAGTTATAAACAATGCTCCACTTCAGACTTAGCATATTTCCTTTGCTCCTAGCATGTAAAACTAATGACTTCAGAACCTCATGATTGTGAACTGAAACTTATAGATCAGATTTGCCTGTACGGTGTTTAAAGGAGTTGCACACCTGTACCGACCGATTGCAAGGAACAGAGCTATCATAGTAGCACCGTCAATCCACTCCTGATGGCGAACATCCAGAAGACTGAACGCTGCCTTTAAATTTCCTTGCCTTGCAGTAGTTCGTTTAGCTACTTCCACAGCCATCTGCAATGTCAAGGCATAAATAAATAAATATAGTAAGATAGCTCCGCCTTCAATCTGAGTCCATGACGAATCCGTATCAATATAATCAAAACTAGTGCTTTCACATCTCATTATCACTGAAGAAAGCTTTATATAGTCACGAACCAGAAAGCGGCGAAACAAGTGTTAAAAAAAAAAAAAAAAAAAAAAAAACCAATTCACAGTCATAAAATAATGACGTAAGGTGCAAAATTTCTAACATTACTGTTTCCTGATTATAGGGGATTTTTGATAAACTGACTAAACTTCAACCCAGTTCACACAAAAATTACGCATATGCTTTTTAGAATTTCCATACGGAATTAGCAATACCTGAGCTTTGTAGTTGCTGTAAATTACAGAAAAGGCCAAGTTCATCAAGAAGAAGAATCCAACAAGTAAGTATGTGGAGAAAAAGAAAAACGCTAATCGATTTGTTCGATAAGCTGTAGACCAAACACTAGGATTGTTTGCAGTAGTCAGCAGCACAAAGAGGTTTAACAAGGAAGTGCCATAATCCTTGAATTCAAGTGTGGATTCTGAGAAGAAAGTCGTAGCAAGCCATGCAGAGAGCATTACAAAAATCACCACCAAGCCCTGTGTAACCCAAAAAATTGGTCAGATTTGTACATAAAACAGCAATACCACCTTCTAGATAAAGATTTCGACCCTACACAGAAGAATTGAGACATTTTTTGAATCCAGCATATTCTAGCTAAAAAGTGGATCTAGAAGTTTGAGCATCATGGAGAGATGAAGAATTAGAATGATGTTTCCCACTAACCTAGATAATAGGATTGAACCATACCGTAATATCCATGAACGTGTGCACAATGAGCACTGTCCTGCGAAAGCAACCACGTATAGCCCTGTCACATAAGAACAAATAAGCCCAGAAGTATTTAAGACGTGCATGCACCAAGAATTTAGAGCTGAGGTTTGTGAGAACAATGTGGATACCCAAGAGACTGAAGAGACGTCAAGAGAGTAAAATCACCCTTTCCTCAGATGTCGGCAGCAACCAATTTAGAGTGTTCGACGAACCTGCTGAACGTTATCGGGATAAGAATCCTCAAATACATCGATATTTTAATGTCTTGATATTCTGCTATTCCTAAACTCGATGCAGAGATAGAAATACACATCGCCAGAAGTAAAGCCATCTGCTTTACAAGTGAATCCGATTAAAACACCAGGACAGGTAATTTTCCGAAGAATATTCCAGCTTACTTTACACTTGAGAGAGAAAAACTAAAATCACAATTGGCAAACATTTTGAACCTTTCTGAATCGTTAACCTTCTGGATGTTTCTTCAACTACCATGCATTATCTCACAAAGACAAGTATGCTGAAAAAATAACAAGCGGGAATAATATTTACCTTATATACAGAATGTTGGTTCTGCCAAAATTTAGAACCCAAGAAGTATCGTTGCAATGCGACAGACCACGCCAGAACTAGCACGCAGCATGTCTGCAGTCAGATGACCATCAAAACCAGTAGGATTCTCTTGCTCATAAAAGTACACACCCAATTAAATATCATGTTTTTCTGATTTTGAAACCGTAAACAAACGATAGAGCGTGATTGATACATTTGATGCTAGAGGTAACCCTTAAAAATTAACAAGAAATTCTTGCTACTAATTGTGGGGGCTTTTAAACTTGTGCTCAGGTAATTCGTTGAAGGGAGCATCAGTAAGCAAATGATACCTCGATCACTAAAGATACATGTGGATGGATGTAGGGCAAACCGCTGAGAAGATATTTTTTTGGTTCACCACAAGGATTTGGTAATTTTCCATTGCACCAAGCCGGAATCTAAACAAACAAAGCCATCCCCATAAATGATAATCGCTTCATACTAAGATATTATAGCTCTGAAAAAATAAAGATTCGGCATGGAGGGAACCAATTCATTATCATGCACTCTAATTGAATGAATACCTCTCTTTCACCCTTCTTGATAAAGATCGGTTCGAATTTATATAACGTACCTCAAAGAAAGGCAAGAACATTAGAATTACGTAAACTAGAGCCCTGGCGTGGAAAAGCCGGTGGTAAAGAATGAAGCCACGCTTTGCACCGTCGTAATCTCTGTGATAAACCACAGCCAGTGGTAGGAATCTTCCCTGCATTGCCTGCAGTTTTGAAAGTGTGTTTTCAGGCTAGCAATTCACATTCAACACTATATTGGTAAGATAGAGAGTACCTATTAGATGGCAGTTTAGCAGCAACTCTTACGCATTGCCGCAAGTGCTATATACATTCGAAATATTTTTGTGTGACAACAAGAGAAGATAAAATGCTTGTGGGGTTGAAAACGCTGTCTTCGGGGAATTCTGTTTTGAAAGTTTCTATTTATTTAATCAAGACAAAAATCCCATGTGTGAAAACCGCGCCAGATGGTCCAACGCCTCTGACCGCAGTTTAACATAAGACTACTAGTGCATGCAGAGAAAAGGAACCCTCCTCGAATTGTATTTTCTCGCCAAAACTTCAGAGGAGCTGAGTTTTGATAAAGCTTAAAATATTATTGAATGAAAGCGAAACAGATAAATGTGAACGATTCTCAGCAGCTTTCGCAAATTGAGAAGCACAATCAAGTGCAGGGGAGGTGATGCAATATTTCAAGTGAAAATTTCCAAAAGAGAAAACTAAAAGATAGAGAATTCAGACAATTTGTCTCCTAAACGGAGATAAACTAATCCTGTCAAGTTGAATAATATTTGATATCGGCATGCAGTAGGATTAATTACCTGATCAACCAATGCTGCTGCCATCTCGACATTTGAATGTAATGGGTGATAATGAGGGTCTGGTCCTGCTTCTATATCACGCACCCTCTTTGAATTTGGAGGGTAGAAACCGCATTCGGAATAGGATGGTGGGCGGTGTAGAGGAGTTAACAAACCTTCCTCTTGAATTTCGGGAAGTGTATTCCTTCTGAGGAATTTTTTCCTCATCACGTCCCGACCAAACGCCCTTTTGGCTGATCGGTTAACTTTGCCACCTGGTTCTGGGGATGCCTTGGGAAGCGGTCTGAAAAAAGGCATAATTGTCAGTAGCCAGAACTAGAGGTGCAGCAAAAGATTGCCACAGATCAATGACCGATTTTTTTCTTCAAGTCATCATTTTTTTTCAGTGATTTGACTAATTCTGCAGTGAGGGCCTGAGTTGATGTTGGAAGAAAAATCAGTTTGTCATTTCGAAAACGAAGTATAAGGATGAGGCTCCAATCGACGAATCAATTTTCTGAAATGATCATTTCAATGTGCAGTCCAATTCAAAGAGATGGTGCGCAATCCCGATGGCAATGACTGCATGCTCCATTTGGCTCCCTACTCTTCAATTCACCATTTCAAACTTTAGTACAGAGGGTATGCATCGATCTCTCGTCTGACACTGCTGATCACACATGGACAGGGACTTCACGGTAGTGCTCTGGTTCAGAGCAGTACTGAATTTCACCGGAGTCTCCTCTATAATAACTATGGACTGAAATCTTTGATAACGGTCATCGAGAATCGAACGAAAAGCAAAAGAATCTCCCTAGGAAGAGAGAGCACAGATTGGGAGCTAGTGGAAGGATCTTAACTGAAACTCGAAGTCTCTCGCAAAGAGCTCCAAGTGGATGAAATCGACGAAATTAACCTAAGATCTAATTCGTGCACAGAGTAGAATATCGCGTTCTTTCTCGCACTCTCAAGTTCCGTCAAGACAAATATAAAAAAAAAACAGCAGACCTTCTCAATCTAATTCAGCGTTTGAAGATCCAACAATGAGCACAAACTACATAGATGCTCCAAATCTATGGAAACCACGCTGCAGTTGAACTTTCTATCAACCACCGCTAACTGAAGCAAAAAAGGAAAACTAAGCTCTAACGACTACACAACGGTGATGAACATTCGTGCACTAGCTTCCAAAAAGAAGTCGCTCATTCACTAAGTTCGCTTCGAACTTGCCACAGAAACCGCAGTGTGCATGCGCGCACAGAAAAAGTCATCCTCCACAGGACATCGAAGATCGGCATCTTCTCCTCGAATACGCCAAAGCCTCGTCTCGTCTCATCTCATCTCATCTCCCCACGTTCCCTTCCAAGAACTTTCCGAGCTAACTACAACGTGATTCGACTACTACCGCAACGAAAATCGTCACTCGAAACACACACTCTCTCTCTCCCTCGACTTTCTTAACAACACCTCGCCCCTGCTTTGCCAAGAACGTACAGCGTCCCGCACAAACTCAGCGAGAGCAACTACAAATCGCAGCCACAGAAAATTCACAAAGAGCGACTTCCTTGACTACCATCCGGATCAACCGCAAGCTGGCAGAAAAAACGACATTGGAAGTCCAATCTTCCACGTGTGCTGAAGCTATTGTAAAAATACACCGCAAGTCTCGCTCAAGCTGCGACACCAATTTCTACACTAAAATACTCTCTCACTCCATCGCCATGCGCGATTGCGAGGCCTTTTTAGGCACTTTTTTCTATCTCTGCCTTTCATTGCACTCTACACGTGCACATGCTTCGATGCGCAATCCTCCCCCTCTCCCGTGTGAAAAGGATTTGCGCCTCATCCTCCTCGACGACTTGAACCTTCCAGTGGATTCCGACGTCACTGCTGAGTTGGAACCAATAAGTGGATGCCAATCTGTATCTGACACGTGTCCGGATCTTGTAGTGTAAACAAGGCTCAGCTTCACTAACAGATCCAACGCCAATCGCTTCCCCACAATGTGGCCACAGTCGGGTGCTGAAAATACTGTGGGTATAAAAATAGACTTTTCCACTGTTGATTCCCTGGTTTATAATATTAGTTAATTTCTTCTTGGGACTCTGAATTCGCAGGTGCCTGCCTCAATTCAAAAGCATCTCCAAATATATCCAGATCCTGGTTTGAATTCCAATTATGAAATCCATCAGGGTCAAGCATCCAAAGCACCCAAGTGTACATCCATCTTGTATTAATATAGCAAAATGGAGAATCTGTCAACATGCTTCAGTTGGGCACCAGTAGTTAACTTGTACCTGGCATGCACGCATGCATGCTTAATGCATATCCAAATTGTCACACAAATCTATGAAGGTGTGGAATATAACTCTGCCCTTTCTCAAACAGCTTTTCATTCTATTTTACCATGTGACATTTGGGCTCCCCCCCCCTCTATATTCTATTCAAACCCCTTAATTGTGAATTGTAATCCTAGTCAATTATACACTGTGTTCATGAAAGTATTCTTTGTGCAAAGCTTTGATTCTCAAATAACTGAGATTGTAATTGTGGTTGGAGGATGCAAGAGATTGGTTTGGAACAAAAAGGGTTTACAGGATAGTTACTTCATGACATTGGTTCTATAGTTTGAAAACTATTCAAAACCTTTGTATGTGTTTATGTATATATATACATATATATATATACATTTACAGATGTCAAGGGAAAACATTGTTCAAAAGTGTGATGATTGATTAAATAACGGATTTTTTGATTTTTTATGCAAACATTACAAATGTAAATAAATAAATAAATATGTATATAAAATTTGTTATTTTTTCATGTTTGAAGTTATTTATTTATTTATTTATTTATTTATTTTGATTGCATGGTTGATAGTGATGGATGCCAATACTAAGAAATTTTTAATGATAGTTTTTGTAGTGGATTTATAATTTGTTGGAAATATATAAAATGTTTATTTTTTGTATGTCTTTAGATTTTGGTATTTCTTTTTCAACTTTAAACTCTATTTCAGTACTTCTGGCATTATGATTTTAATTTCAAGTTTTGAAAGTGTCTTTCAAAATATTGCATAATATGTTCTAATTATAGAACGCATCACAGCTGTATAATTGTTCTTTCATACATATATTCTTAACATTAAAACGTTATTAAATTTCCAACAGTAAGCCAACAAAAAATTATGATATGCTTACATTACTCAACAAGTTAGATTTTCAGTGATTGTCTTTACATGTATCTGGTTTGTATCTCACGGCAGATCTTTGAGAAAATAAGAGTATGCCAAAAATACTATCATATACAACATAAATGAAATGAAAACAAATCTTACACAAGAAACAGTAACCCTGTTTGATGTCCTGCATTCAGTACATGTGTAAGATCTTTGTTAAAAATATACATATGGGAGAAAAAATACAAATAAAAATAACAAGCAAGCACAAAAGAAAGAAAATATATTTGTACATAATCATAATTGATACGTATTTTTATTAAAAACAAAAAAAATCTCATGAATTTTTAAAATTCATACTTAATATCTTAGAAAAAAATCACATATTTTTACTTGTACAGGACTCAAACCGTTTTTGATATCGTTTTATAAGTTATAAAAATTATTAGTGTGTACGTAAGATCTAAAATCCATGGTGTTTTTCGATGTCTAATTATTGTGTTGTGTTATGTCGTGCCCGGGGATGTAGCTCAGATGGTAGAGCGCTCGGGTAGCATGCGAGAGGTATGGGGATCGATACTCCACTACACTCAAACTGTTCGGCCGTATTAACTTGTTCTATTTACAAACCGCATCTACGACCGAAGAGCTCTTCCCATGTTCGTGAAGGTCGATGGTGGAGTCAAAATCAGCGTGTTTCGCTCCCCCATTGAGATGTCTTGCTTTTATTTAATGGGATAGTTCAATAGAAACGTGTCATTCCCGCTCCGTTGAAGCTATTTTAGTGAACTGGAGTGGCTAAATTGTGGATTCATTATCAACATTACAAAGTGTTGATGCTGTGATAACAATCGTCTGAGCACAGAAGCAGCTCGAAACAACTTCTGCGATATCGTTCACATCCCATACTCCCCATCTACTGCACATGATGTGTGGTGACAAACTGACTTTATGTAATACATCAGGGCAACACCTTAGCACGAGTTATGTTTTCTGACCACTGTCGGACTAGGTTGAGCCTTCTCCTGTGGAAAATCAGTTCTCGATAGCACAACGTGGACTTCGAAGACTTGCAGAATTGCATCCTACACGGTGGGAGCCATAGTGAAGCGGGATGGTAAAATATATGTATAAAAAATATATGGTAAAATATATAAAAAAACATTAAACTACACTTAAAAATCATAAAGTATGTTAAGACATTCAAAGATGTACTAAATTTAATAAATAAATAAATTAAAATACAAATTACAAAAAATAAATTATTAATATTTATCTAATTAAAACATTTGGAAAAAAAATATTCAATGTGGAATTTAAATTGTCATTTCTAGGAAGAAGAATCTTAATAGAATGGGAGGAAGTACATTAGAGAGTGCTATGTAAAGTTGCCCATGGGAAAAAATAAATTGTTATAGATCCAAACTAACATGCTTCATCGATTGTCCTTGAGATTTTTTTATTGTTATTGCAAATGTAAGATAGATTGGAAATTATTTTTTCTTTAGAATAAACGAAAGTTCTTTTGTTGTAGAAGGTAATATAATCTACAAAATAAACATCAAGTTTCTTGCAAATTTTCCTCTAAGAATTCTTCCTTCAAGAACTTGATCCATTAGTCGTGTAATTATCAATCGGCTTCCATTACAAAGTCTTTGGCAAAGAGCAATATTTCTTAGTAGCATCACCACAATTTCAATCTTAAAACAAAGCCTTAATCCGAGTATTTGAAATGGATTACGCAACTTAATGAATTTGACTAAATAAACATTATTATTGTTGATACCATCTTCATCAGCACTTAGATATTCTTATTCTTCTCTAGGAAATATAGCCATAATCTTCTCATTAATATCCTCTATATCATCATTTGATGAGAATAAAATGATTCTATTTCTAAAGAAGGCATCATTTGCTACAACGTCTTCTACCAACCTTTGATAAATAACATCCCCTAAGGATATTAAATGTTGATCAACAATCATATGATCAAGAAGCATAATTACATTATCAAGCAATAATTTGTATTCAACCTCATATTTTTTTTTGATATATGGATTTTTACTTGAGGCCAAAGTATTGAACCTCAAAAAGATGCTGCTACAATTTCTTCTCAAGTTCTTTTTACAATCATTAGCAAAAATCTCCACCAAAAACTATTGTAGCTCCTTCAATGGGCAATCAATATACCAAATGTTTCTAAAGGAATAATCAATTGCCTCAAGACAATAACAATATTGCATTGGAAGTTCATCCCAAATGATAAGCAAAATTTGGCAAATAAACTTAGCATGGTTAAAATTCTTAGTAATTGAACAAAAAAAGTCTTTGTTATAATCTAATAGAATCTTAAATATAGAATGGATACTTCTTTGTCCATCAAGTAGTAATATAACAATATTTGATGATGCAACACATATGATAATTTTTTGCATCAATCAAACTTTAGTTACCAAAATATTGTAGACAAATGTCTTATCAATTTTCATAAGTCCATTTAAAAAAAACATGCAACCATGTCCTTCTTTTATAGAAGCCACAATATCATCAAATGCCTTATTTTATTGAAATTCAATTGTGGAACATAGTGCTTCAAATTTACTTCTAATTATTGAATGTTCGGCTCTTTCTTCAGAAATAAATTGATTTCCATTAATTGTTGCATTTTAATTGTTTCTTAGTAATAGTATTATAAGAAACTGTTTAAGTATTTTGTTAGAGACTTACAAAATCTTTTTCAACAAAAAAAGTCAAAAATCATTAATTTTTTCTTCTATTGGATTGTTGATCCATATTCTCTTTGCAAATAGGCATTGAGATCATCCTAGTTGCTTTTTCAAAATCTTTTCTATAAGTTTAAAAGTTTTAGTGGATTTTTGTACAATAGAAAAATAACAAATAATGCCCTAAATTACAATCGAGTTTGTATTCTTAATATCTCTTCCAAAAATTATTATCATTCTCTATTATCTCAAGTAATCTTAAAGTTGCACATGCACTTCTAAATATTAGATAAAAAATTCCATGAATAATCTTTAAATGCTAAAATGATTGTGGACCTTTAAAAATCTTCAAGTACTTAAATGATTAATAGAAGTCTCAAGTAATATCTTTCTTCTATTGAAAGATTTGTGAAATATAATCTTTCAATAAAAAATCAATATTTTATTAATATCCATGTCTTTATGCCAAATAAGTTATTGCCAAAATTATTAATATGTATATTTTCTTGCTACTGCAATTATTGCATGCATCTCAAAAAGCTAAAATTAATGTTATCTTTAGTTTTTCAACATGTTCTAAAATTGCAATTGTCTCACCATTTAGGTCATATACTACTTGATGCATTCTTAAAAGGTGAACAACCAAACAAACAATACTTGGCATTTCTTCATGGATCTCTATGCCAAAAAGTTTTCAAATAGCTTCCAAAGCTTTAATGTATTTTGTATCTAAATATTGTTTAATTTTATCTTGTTGGTTTTCAAATTGCATTGTAATGCAATCATGGCCCTTATAGATATACTTGTAGATATACTTGATAGTACAAATAGATGCACATATTTCAATATTAATATAACAAT